GGTAGCGTACGGACGTCTACCGGACCTGGATGCGCGGTGTAACCCGCTGGCGGATAGCCGCCCAAGCGGGGATCGACGGAGAACATGGGTTCTCCGGATCCGCGAGCGGCTCCTCCACGGTCCTGTACGTAGGCGTCCGATACGCGTTCCATATGCCGCCTACTTCCGGGGATAGGCGGCAATGCTTGGATCTCGGACGCGAGATTTGCGCCCATTCGAGGACGGTTTCCTTCCGCAGTCCGACTAGTGTCGGCGCCAGTCGGACGCCAACCTTCCGGAGCGACGGCGCTCGGAGGTATGGCACCACCGGGCCCTCTCGTGGGGGCACCGGGCAGCCTTGCGGCCATGGTCCGTTCCATGTCACGAGCACGCTGTCGCGTAGCGTTGAGCTCAGCGGAGAGGTGCGCGAACGCACCCAACTGTTCCGCGGACGGGGACGGTCGATCGTCAGGACGTCTCGTCGAGATCGGCCCCGTCGGGCGACCTTGCCCGTGCAGCACGGGCTGTGCGAGGCGTGAGTCTTCGACGAGCACCAGTAGCGAGTGGAACTCGTCGACTAGTGCTCGGAGATTCTCCAAGGACTGGCTGACTCGATCGAACCTCCCTTTACGTTGGGAGCGGAGCTCGTCCATACATCGCGAGTAGACGGCGTCCGTCACGTCTATACGGAGTGAAGTACGGACTTCCTCGATGTAGTCAGCTATGCGATCGAACATCGCAGCCGCTTGTCCTTCGGGGGACTCGGGAGACGGTTCGCGGTCTCGGAGACCAGCGTCGCCGTCGCAGAACGGCGGTGATGGTGCGTGCATAGCGGCCGCCCTCGGATCCGCCGGTTCGGACCGGATCGAGGTGGCGTATTCTTGACTCATCTCAACGTGTACGGACGCGGAGGAAAAAGAAAGTCTTCTCGGAAGGATCTCGGGGTCTTCTAGGTCGGGAGACCACTGTAGCATAAACACCCCCAAACGGCGGGGGTGTATGCACGCAGTTCGGTAGCAGATTCCGGATCGGCGGAAGACGGAACACACGCAAAGGGAAAGGACACGGGTCCTGGTAGCGTGGTAGAGCGGGAAGGGTGGCAGGCGCGAGTGATTGCGCAGCGGAGCGCATCGACGCCTCAAAGCCCCGGAGCGACACTGGATAGCGGACCAGTGCCGACGGGCGGAGGCGGATCGCTGCACGCGCACGCAATGTAGCGCCTGCACCCCGCGTCGGTTCCCTTACCTAAACGAGACGCGAGAGCGGACTCGTGTTTTAGGTTAAGCGGTGGGTTGTCGACTAAGGCGGAAGGTCGTGGACAAGCCCGTGCTCGTCCCTTTCCTCCGCCGTCGGTCGCTCCCTTATTTAATGTACAAGTGTTCGGTTATCATACCAGACTACAGTATCATGCTACCGTAGCCGGCGCGAGTCGTCGCGCGCGGTGGCTCTGTCAGCTATCGAGCTGACAGTACACGTGTGTCCCACGTGTGTGTGCGCACGCCCTGCACACGTGTGGTACACGTGTGGGCGCGTGCGGGCTGTAAGGTTCGTGCCTTACAGCCCCTGATCTAATCCTAATCTAATCGACGGCGCATATACCACACGGGGGACGCCCCTTCGGACTTGGACTGAGAGATCACCCCGTTGGCTAACATCTGGTCCACCGAGGCTTGTTCCGCCTCACGGGCGCAGGGACCAGCACGATATGGCTGACAACGAAACGGCTTTGCGCAAAGCCGTTGAGCATCGCATCAAACTCACCCCCGGCGCGCGCCGGGGGTGAGTTTGATGCGATGCTCTGTCGCTCGAACTTCACCAAAATTCCCGTTCCACACCGCGGCGTACGGCGCGAGCATGGTTCGAACCCGGTCTCGCACGTGCACCGGTAGGTGGTCGAGGGGGATCGCATCCCGCGGAGGGAATGGCTCCGCCGGGGGGTTGACACGCAAGGGGGACCCTCACCCGGTACTGGGGGACTCCCCTCGGAAAACTCCGCAGCTAGGACTGCGTCCAACGGCATCGCCGTGCATACCATCGCACGGGGATGTGGAGATACGAAACCCACGACTTGGTTCTTCGACAAACGCTTGGAGGCGGACGAGAAGTTCGCCACGACGACCTTGAACTCCTGCAATGTGGCGATATGCACCACCCCGTTGGAGAGGGAGATCCGTTGCTTCGCATATAACTGCGGGTTTGCCTCGAGGACCGAGAGTCCAGTCCTTCCACTGGTGACGTGTACCCACGTCTGGGTACCCGCCGGGAGGTTGACGGCGCGGGAGACCTTGAGCTTGGGCGAAATTCGCCCCGCTTGCGACGAATACTCCTGCTCCGCCGGGAGGGGAGGACTGTTCACGGCCCGAGCAGCCGGCTTGCGGACGATGGGAATTTTTGTACCATCGTGCAGCTCCATCACTTCGCGTCTTGGGTAAATCGCCTCGACAAACTTGTCGTTGAACTCCCACCCCAAAATGACGGGGGCGGCTAACCGTTTACGGACGTTGAAATTACACCTCATGGTGCGGTCGCCTAACCGCACCACGACGGGGATTTGTCCGCTCATGTGCAATGGTCTCCCATTGGCGTCGGCGATCGTCGGGATCTCGCCCGGAATTACCAGCGCCTCCCATCCGGGGGGAAGCATGTCGAGACGTACGAAATTGGAGCCAGCTCCTGTGTCTAATATGGTGAGCTGGCGCACCAATATCTACGGTGATAATCCCAGGTCTGCGTTGACCTGGTAATTCCTCCGAGACAGGGCGAGCGCTGTCTCGAGATTTTTAACACCCCTTGCAAGCGAGGGGGTGTTTTCCGCAAAGGGCGGCGTAGCGTACCGAGTTGGTCTGGATCGGGGTTCTCGTGGGAAAAACCAGTGTGTTTACGGCCGAGGATTCGGTACTGCTTCTCCACCGGGGGAGGTACAGAATATTCCGCCGTCTTGGGCGAGATATCTGGGGACAAGCCCGTATCTACCTCAGCTGCTGCGGGCTGAGGTTCTCCTAGTTTTTCGGAGGAGGTTGAACGCCAACGGGGGGCGGAAGGGCCTTCGCTCCGGTACCCACACGCGGCGGCGGGGGCGGTACGTTCCAGCGTACTTCGGCTTCCCAACCGTCCCTACCGTCCGGTTCCTTGATGCGTCCGAACAATTTCCGGACTCGGGGATGAAGCGCTTAGACGGGAATGGAGCCTGATGAACGGGTTTCAGGAAGAGGTTAAGTTTCCCAGTTTCCTCGCACTGTTGGCGTGTAGCGACGGTGTCAGCGATCGCTTGAGCAGACGGAGCTTGAAGAGTAAACTGAAGTCCCCGGTCGACGTAGACGGCGTGAACAGACATGAGCTGCGGTGGGGCGGGGCTCGCGTGGGGGGTCCTGGCCCCCGGTTGCCCGGCAGCTTGTGTAGCCGGCGTAGCAGCAGGATTCTCCGCGGTAGTGGCAGTTGGGGCCGTACCAGCGGGGCGGTTCTGGAGCAGAGAGGGAATCTGGGCGATCTGCGTTTCCAGTGCGTTTACCTTAGCAACGAGAGCGACGGATGGAGGGCGACTGGCAGGAGGCTGGTTTTCCAGAGTTGGCGCTGGACCAGAGATGCCGGCGGATCCTGACGAAGATTGATCTTCTTCAGCATTAGGCATAATGCGCAAGTTGTTTCAGAGCCGGCCGTGACGATGATCCGTCTGGAGTTTGTTGAGTTGAGTGACGAAAACAAGCGACGACTTGAAGAGAGAAGAGAGGCAATAGAGATCGAAGTGCCTCTCTTATACAGCCCTTTTTTCGACTAGTGGCCGATTTTCCATTGCCTCTGCAGTTCCGTGACGCGAATGAAGGACGTAACGAATCCTAGCCGTTTTCCAAGTCTTAGTCTGAACGGTAACATGAAACGGTCCGTCTGAAACGGTCCATTTGAAAGGTCAAGTAAAACTTCAGCCGATGGGTCCGGTTGGCCAGGTTTTCCAACACTTCAGCGGAGGGGCCCGTTTGGCCAGGTTTTGAAAATCTCAGCGGAAGTGTCCGTTTGGCCATGTTTTCCTTGCGATAGAGCCGTTGCGCGTTCAGCCGAAAAGCCCCCTTGTCCAGATTCACCTTTCAATTATCAATGAATGCACTAAATCGCTCATTCCTATACGAATAATCCTACTTGTTCCGAACTAGTCGCAGAATACGTGTAATGAAGACCTTAGAGCCAGTGCCAACGTGCTATGAGAATTTCATAATGCCACATTTAGTACTGTAGCTGGGATGCAAAGTACTGTAGAATACTACTAATTAAGGGACAAAAAAACTGAATTTCCGAACCTTGAATGTCTATCGGAAAAGCAATGTCAGTCGCGCTTTAAAAGCGCGAGAAAATTTCTCAACCGGCAAGGACAAGACTCCGCTTGCTGCCAAACTGTGAGTGCTGCTGTGGAGCTCTCGCAAGCTATCATGTGCACACTTTCCAGCTTTTTTTACCATGCGATACTCCGTACATCTACATGACAGGTACCGTCTGTGTTGTTCCATCGCAAGCAAACTTTTACACGCATGAACAATTCTTCCAGTCTCAACGTTCGTCGATGTAATGAAAACCCTTGCCCTATAGAGGAAGCTCATGCAAAGGAATATGTTTAGGGACTCAGAGCTTCTCTTTTGGTGATCTTCTTGTATTCATCTTTGTCTGAGTTGTGGTCGCAGATATGCAATTCCACCCTCGATATTCCCTTCTGAAGAAGCGATTTGCTAATGTCAATATAAAGAGTTCTACAGCGATTTGGTTTTGCCCCATTTTCAGATGCCATGGTATGCACTTTTCTTTTTCGACGCTAATCCAATTCATCTCTTCCAAATCTGGCCATTTCCCATCTCAGCTTCATGGGCATGGAAGTGGGAGAAACTTGAAACGCTTTGAAAAGCACCTGCTATCCGGAACTGGCCGAGATCACTTCTTCCCATGTCTGATGCAATATCTTCGTATCTCAATGAAATGTTATGCAGTAGAGCGAGACATTCTCAGGCTATAAGTAGTTTGATCCCCTGTTCTGGTTACGCATGAGCACATCATCTCGACGAACACTTTCCTCATCCTTATCTCTTTCAACCTGTTCAGACTCCGAAAGTAGCAGCCCTCTGAATCAGTTCTACGCTTCACAACCAAGATCAATGACAGGTTATTCATCTTTCACTACGACACTCATTGCAGTGTGCCTTCTCTGCAGTGCTCATGCTGTCCCTTCTTTAAAGGGTGAAACATTGGAAACAACTGTACGATGTAATACTGATTTCGTTGTTGCGAGAGGACTTAACTCAGGGGTTTCTCGTATCGCCTGCAACGAATGCGCTTTATGTGTCTCTGATGATGAATGTTCTACTGGAAAATGCTGGGGATACGTGAAGGGCGAACTCAAATGCGTGTACGATCACCCGGAGTCTAAAGCCAAATGCTTCCCGCCGAAAAGCTTGTGCTCTTCATGCCTAGTCGATGACCAGTGTGCTTCGAAAAAATGTTGGGGACATAAGTGCGTCGAGAAAGACATCAAGTCGATTTGGAAGTGCTTTGGACATTACCATTAGGATCGAAATCTAGTCATCCTGTATTTTATTGACAAGATGGCTGCCCCGTAGTCGTCGTCTCTGGATGGGACGATTTCCTTCATTCGATTTCATGTTGCCCTCAACGTCCTTCGCTTTCCAGATCACATTTCTGGGTGGGAAACCTCAGAGCTGTGGGCGGTCATAGCTCTTGAGTTGCAGTTCTCTAGATAGCTTTGTTCTCGGAACAGTCCGCAACGCTGCCCATGGCGAGACATTTGATAAAATAGCTACATTGTTTGTGAATTTCTGACGCGAACAGTTAGTCTAGATGTACTGCGACGACGGCGGGTACAACTTCTCTTTTGCAGCGAGAAACAGGTATTCAGGCACATCTCAAAAAAAAACACCAATCCCTTATAATCAATGTGAAGCAGAAATCAATGTCTGTCCGAAACTCTCTTTCTACTTCAACAAATAGCTGACAGGGCATTACTGTGGTCGAAGTACATGGCCGACCGGCATGGAAAAAGCCATTAAACACAGAACGCCGCTTCAGTTGCCTCGAATACAGGTTTAAGAACAACTAGAATGGCTCAAATTGATTTAACGAATTCGTGGTTTTGGAACGGTAGCGTATGCGATGATACAAGTGGCTGAAGGTATCCGCGTGTTGACATCTGCCAAAAAAAGGCTCTATGAGCAAGGGGAGCTGTAGAAAAAAAGGCAGTTTCGGTGGTTCAACGGCACGGACCGTCTGTGGCGAATTCTGTACACTATTCGTAAATGAGAACACTAAATAGTGGAAATAGTGATCACGAACCGTGCCACTTCGAAATAATGGGAACGAAGCATAGAGTGGGTTACTGGAAATGTGTCGCGATAGACATTGATGCACTCATCTACCCTGCTGTAGTCCGCCGTCGAGTGTTTGTCCGGCAGTTTTCCGCTGCACTAGGAGTGTTTGCTCTATTACACTCGCCGTAATGGACCGAAAACCTGGTACTCTCACTATTAGCAATTTCGAAAGTAACCGGATGTCCTAACCAAATTTTACAGTCTCTCTTGGTTGCTTGCCATGGAAACTCGAACTAGTATCATCTTGTTATCACACTACGCTTTTCTCACGTCGGAACAATTGTCACCGTCACGCTCTTTCACCTATCTTACTGAGCAGTACGAGTTTACCGACTGCATGTGTCAAGATCGTCCAGAGACTCGTTCCTGATTAATGGTTACAGTAGTCCGACCGCAACTCAATGAGAATGACCGTCCTTGTGATTTGTGACCACTGGCACACCCCAACAAGTTGAAAAGGGACTAATTCCAAAGACAGCAAACAAATTGTGTAGGCACTGATGCCTCTTTAATGTTTCGATCGTCAGCGTACTCATAGCCGTCTCGTACCACCTTAACTATGTCGCTGCACTGCTAGCCAGATGCGTGTGATCCTAGGGGCTTGCGTCCCGAAGAGCTCCATTTCGTGTCACCTACTCTCTGGCCATATGTTGCACACAATATTAACTACTAAACTAAGTAGCACCATATACAGTAGGTACGAACTCAGTAGTCTCCCGCAGCTTACTTGCTGTTAAATCTGGGTATCCCCTTAATTTGCACCCTCACAAAACCTCCTGATAGAAAAAGGCTTTCGCGATGTACCTCACGGGCACAGATTCCGTATATCCAGAAACACATTTATATGTTGGAAAGAGCAAAGATGATATCTTTGATTGATCTGTGTCCTCTCTGGGTCTGTGTCCTCTCGTGCACAGGGCCTCTACGTGCTCGTGCTTATCACTTCATCTGGGGTCACTGCAAATAGAACGAATAGTGAGTTTTGTCCATTGAAGAAAAAGGTATCAGCAGCTTGCGAAAAGCTCTGACTGGAAACAGACCAGCGGTTCATGAAGTTTTTGAGAACTATTACTGACGAAGACCAGTAACTTGCAACCGAAAAGTTCCCTTTTTCGTTTGGATTTGTCAATGGCCGTCAGTTCTTCGTCAAGGCTCCCCGTGGACACCCCATGCAATGCTTTTCAAAAACACCACAGCTCGGTGACTGTTTGCGGGATTTGGATTCTTTGTCAACGCTACTCTTGCAGTACGGACGAAAGGAATACTACCCACTCCAGGCATCTGTTTCACGAGTACGAGACTGCTATTCACGAAAATCCTAATTTTGTCGTCCGCGACCTGAATCGAGTATTTTGTAGCTGACTCCGGTCTTGGCCCGAGAGGAACCCACTCCAAATTGTTAGGGTTTCCCTTTCCTTTCCAAAAACTGGCGAAAACCCAGTCCTGCTTTCCAGCGTAATTATATCTCCACTGAAGAGCAAAAAACGGTCTAAACGGGAGGGTAGCATCGTTTGTCCTTGGTTCATCAAGATAAGCAAATAGAAAATGACCGATATAGTCCTGCTGCTTGGGTATGCGCAACACCATAACATCGTAAATTGCAGAGTCTCTTTTCAGCATTCTTGCTCGAGGTCCACCTGAACTATGGTTCCTGTAATTCTTCGCCTCTCGGAGAACTGACACGGAAAGTCCTTCACCGGCACTGAAGATCATGAAGACTTCGTCTCTGAAGAACATGGATTTGAAATTCCACTGCGCAAATCCAGTAAGTTTATTCACTTGTCGGCCAGAACCGTCCAAATAGACAGCACGATTCAAAACCTGTCGAAACTCTTGGTGATTGGAGGGGGCATCTTCCTTACAAAACACGAGCACGAACGAAGCAAGCAGGAGCAGAATGACTAATTGCACCATCCTTGGGGGTGATTATCGGAATGTCTGCCGGGATTACCGTGTCCTTGGTCTAGTCGATGTCAAAGATGGAAACCCGAACATTAACCGTACGATCGCGCAAACGATCTGCGCCAAGTTATCGGTATTGCCAGAACTTAAATACTACGCAATTCATTTCATTGGGATCTACAGTGCTTCCGCCTTATAAGAATAAGGACGAGAGATAGGCTCAGTATTATTATAAAGCGGATACTCTTATCGGTGTGTTTATTATAAGGTCCAGCAAGCTCGTCAGCGCCTTCTAAAAAAGTCTAGTTGGTGCTGTACAGGTGAAAGTGCATATGAAGTCTCTCATGGTTTCTTATAGGAGCGCAAAGTAGTTTGAACGGATCAAAGACACAGAAGTGCAATGTTGAACAGGTCTATAGTCTGGGATTGAGGTTGAGAAAACGTTCATATGCCGACACAGCTGATTGATATTGCTTCTTGGGTCCCTTTTTGAGGTACGTACAAGCCTTGCTGTACCCCAAAACTGAGCTCATCCAGAAACATTTATTCTTTTGTCGAATAAGAATAAAATGCTGCTCCATGTGCCTGTTTTGGGCACTCCAGCACCGGAGACAGCTGTCGTATTATATTACAGTGGTACCTTCTATATATCGCACCCCAGTGTCACAACGCTTCAAAGTGCGATATATCCGATAGTGCGATGTAGCAAATACTCTCGAAAAAGATTTTTTTTGTTATGTTGAGGCAATGACGTGGAACTGGGCAGAACTACTCAGCCGCCGTCGCCATAAGCCAAAGTTGGAGGTACTGTGCGGGTCGCTTGTACTTGTGCGGGACCCCCCAAGTTGAACAAAATTAGAAAAATAAATATAAAAACAAGAAGCATGTGGCATCGGAGAAATCTTTTTGATCGTTTGGAAAACTGACGGTGTCCTCGTATCTGCTATTCTGTTCGAAGGAGCCAGAAGGCTCATACATCGGCATTAACGGCATGCTTTGGTTAAGCAATCGGAGCGGTGACCACCTCGGAAAAATCACCCAGTTCTTGCACAGACATTTCACTGGTTGATGCAAATTTACTTTGCAAATTTTATATCTAATTCCTCCTCGGTGACCGAGCAACGGCCTGTGCTGCCCACTTCAGAACTGCAGCACGTCGGAACCAAGTTCTCTTCTTCGCAATCTGGCGACGGACCGACAAAGACTTTGGTTCCATGTTTGCAACCTGATAATGGTGCACACGGAATGCCAACGCCTTCTGTCGCCCTCTGAAACGCTCAATCCTCGTCCTTTCTACAGCGTCGGCGAGTCGCTGCGCCACATCTGCTTCCTTTTCTTGTTTCACGGCCAGCTTCACACTCACTTTTGCCGCTTTCTCCCTCGCCAGCTCCATTGCGGCGTATGTAGTCAATGTAATCCCAGCTGATGTGTCCACGTAACCACAGCGAAGAACGCGCGGCTGAACACCCCAACTATCCCTGTACGCAGCTCGTTTGACTTCTAGCATTTCCGCCATATTTTTAACCGTCACCAAGGACGAGCTATTGCCTGACGAATGCGGACGAGGGACACCCATGAGAGCATGAGCATTCACAGGCCAAATGCCAGCTTTGTTAAATGCTGATGTCACATTAGCTCTCGTAAACGCCTTCCCGTATGCCTCCCTCATTATTTTTAAATAATCAAACAGATCGTAGCTTTTCGATTTAGTAGGGGACGAAAGCTGTTCCACACAACTCCGTATGTGCTCCTTGAAGGGACCAAAAACCCCACGTCTAGGGGTTGGGTTGTGCCGCTTGTATGAGAAGGTAATGCATACACGACTACGCCAGCCTGTTTCAGTGTGTGCAGCACCTTGTACCCCATATGGCTCCTGTATCCATCCATACATAAAAAGAACTTTTCGTCCATTGGCCGTCAGGTCCCTAACATCCTCAGCAAAATACTGTGCTCATCGCAGAAAGTTTTTGCTGTCCACGCCGGCGACATCTTCTCGAGTTGTTATCAAACTCCCCCACGGTAGGCAATCGGCAACGGTTTCCATTAAAGATGATCCATGATGCTCGACCGTTCGATACTTTAAAGATTTTCCTTCCACAACAAACAAAGGGCGTCCAACGTCTCCATTGGCGAAAATAACGGGCATGATCGTTACGCGTTTAACATTCTTGAAATCAGGTGATCTTTGAAGGGACTTGTGCCCTCAAGCACTATACGACCTTGTCCTGTTCGACTGTGCGCAATCGTTGCTCGGTGTAGAGTCGCTTTCGTCTAGATTAGCAATACGAAAGGCATCTAAATTATGCACATGAACAAGCCGCTCTAATTCCGCGATGTGGGCCGTCAGAATATCGGCATTGGTTGCCTGCCAGCGAGCTTCTTCCTCCTTACAGGCCCTTCCAAACTTAATTTTGGCACTGTGCTGTTTTGAGAAGAGTGACAAAAACTTGCGTCCCGGACGCCCATCAATAAAGGGAATGGCTTTTTGGCGCTCCTTGCGGAACGAGTGCACCATCAGTTGTACAGCGTCGCCTACATCTGACCGCTTGAGAGGGAAGCCGCTCTGGG